CACCTGGGTGAGTGGCGGAACGGGGTGGCCGGGGACGCCCCCCGGGGTCCAGCTGTCGCGCGAGCGGCGGCCCAGGAGGGTCGGCCAGCTCGCAGTAGCCAGGTCCCTGCCCTTTCCCTTGGGAAGAAGCCCCTGCACGGGAGCCCCGGGCGGACACGGGGCCCCTCCAGGACCACCCCACGGGATGTGGGCGACACCGGTGACTCCCCATCCTAGAGGCAGAGGGCGGCTGGGACCTCCGGGCTTCTCGTGTGGATTCGGGGGGCCCCTTCCTGGGCTCTTTCAGGGGTCTCCGGTGGAGCGATTCTGCCTCCAGGGGACACTTGGCGATGCCTGGTGACACGTTTGGGTGTCACGACGGGGGATAGGGGGTGCTCCTGGCATGGGGGGTGGAGGCCAGAGACCCTGCACACACCCTGCAGTGCTTAGGGCGTCCCCATAGAAATGGGCCAGGCGTGGTGGCTCACACCTGTTGTCCCAGCCCCGTGGGAGGCCCAGGCGAGAGGATCACTTGAGGTCAGGAGTTGGAGACCACCCTGGGTAACACAGTGAGACCTCGCCGCTACAAAAAATAAAAACATGAGCTGGGTGTGGTGGTGCACGCCAGTCGTCCCAGCTACTCAGGAGGATCGCCTGAGCCCAGGAAGTCGAGGCTGCAGTGGCCATGATCGCAACACTGCACTCCAGCCTGGGTGACAGAGTGAGACTCCGACTCAAAAAAAAGGAGAAATGGAGTCTCTCACAAGTGTGGAGGCCAAAAGCCAGAAATCAGGCTCCACTCCCTTTGAAGGCCCTAGGGAAGATTTTTCCTACTTCTTCCAGCTTCTGGTGGAGGCCAGCAATCCTTAGCCTGTGGCTGCATGGCTCCAGTCTCTACCTTTGTGTGACATGGATGCCTTCCCTGTGTGTCTGTCGCTGTCTACCTATTTTTTTTATTCAGAGTCACCGAGGCTGGAGTGCAGTGGCGTGATCACAACGATCACGGCTCGTGGCAGCCTCGACCTCCTGGGCTCAGGTGATCCTTCCACCTCAGCCTCCCGAGTAGCTGGGACGACAGACGCCTCCACACCTGGCTAATTTTTAATTTTTTTTGTACAGACGGGGTCTCGCCAGGTTGCCCAGGCTGGTCTCGAACTCCGGGACTCAAGCAATCCTCTCCTCTCGGCCTCTCAAAGCACTGGGATGACAGGTGTGAGCCACTGCGCCTGGCCTCGTCTCTATTATAAGAATAACAGTCATGCCACCAGAAGCTGGAAGAGGCAGGAAAGATCCTTTCCCATTGCTTTGAGCCACAGGTCTGTGGGACCTTGTCAGAGCAACCCAGGAATGTCACACCTACGAGCTCGGATGCTTTGTAAATTTGAGTCAGTTGGTAGTTTCCAAGAGTTTCAGTATCTTCATCAAACAGGATCTATAAGACCCTGGGCCTCGGGCTTGGTTCAGCCTGCCTCCTTCTGTGTGGGGGTCTCCTCAAGTGGGTGGGAGTCCCTAGCCAGGAGGGTTCTGGCGACGGGTCTGCGTCTGGTCTTCATGGTTCCTTTTTATTCCCTTCAGCTCCGCCTGCCCAGAAACCTGCTTTTCCCAAGAAGAGACAATGGCTGCTGGGTACCTGCCACTCTGGTTCCAGGTGAGACATCCTTGCTTTCCTGAACGAGGTGTATCCAGAGGGAACAAACCCACAGAAGCCCTGTCCTTGACCGAGAAGGTGTCCCCTGCTATGTGGGAAGTTTAGGAGAATCCCCTGGGAGCATTTGGGTCCAGGATGGGCATCGAATAGATGAATTGAGCACAGCACCTTTCCCTAGCAGAGAGGTGAGATCTAGCACCTTCTCCCAGACAGCGGGGAGAGCTTCCAGAAAAGCACCCTCTTTTCTAATTGTGAAATACACACATATACAATTTACCATCTTAACAATTTTAAGTGCACAGTTCAGGGGCATTAAGCACATTCATATTCTTGTTTGTTTGTTTTTGAGTCGAGATCTCTGTCGCCCAGACTGGAGTGCAGTGGCACAATCGCAGCTCACCACAGCCTCAACCTCCTGGGCTCAGGTGATCCTCCTGCCTCAGCCTCCCAAATAGCTGGGACTACATGAATCCATTACATTCTTTTCCAATCCATTCAATTGCACACCATTTCATTGCTCTGCATTCCATTTCGCTGCTTTCCATTCCATTTCATTCCTCTCCTCATCATTCCGTTCCCCTCCATTCCATTCCATTCAATTCCTCACCATTCCATTCCATTCCTTTCCATTCAATTCTTCTCTATTCCATTCCATTCCTCTAAATTCCATTCCATTCCTCACCATTCCATTCCATGCCATGCCAGTTCTCTCCATTCCATGCCGTTCTATTTCATTCCACTCCATTCCATTCCTCTCCTCTCCCATTCCATTCCATTCCATTCCATTCCAATCTATTCCAATTCTCTCCATTCCCTTCCATTTCATTCCATTCCTTTCCATTCCTATCCATTCCACTCCTTTCAATTCCATTCAATTCCATTCCATTCTATTTCTCACCATTCCTTTCCCCTCCATTCCATTCCTCTCCATTCCATTCCTCACCATTCCATTACATGCCATTCTAGTTCTCTCCATTCCATGCCATTCCACTCCATTCCATTCCTCTCACTTCCATTCCATTTCTCTCAATTGCATTCCTCTCCACTCATTCCCCTCCATTCCTTTCCATTGCATTCCTCTCCATTCCATTCCATTCTTCTACATTCCCTTCCATTCCTCTCCATTCCATTTCATTCCATTCCTCTCTATTCTATTCCATTCTATTCCATTCCATTACCCTCTCCTCCATTCCATTCCATTTCACTCCATTCCCTTCCTCTCCATTCCACTCCTCTCCATTCCAATAAATTCCATTAAATTCCATTTCATTCCTCCCCATTCCATTCCCTCCATTTCATTCCATTCTATTCCTCTCCATTCCATTCCAATCCTCTGCATTCCATTATTCTCCATTCCATTCCACTCCTCCCAATTCCTCTCCATTCCATTCCATTCGTTTCCATTAAAATCCTCTCCATGCAAATCCATTCTACTCCTCTCCATACAATTCCATTCCACTGTATTCCATTCCTCTCCATTTGATTCCATTCCTTTCCATTCCGATCCATTCCATTCCATTCCATTCCTCACCATTCCATTCCTTTCCATTCCATTCGATACCTCTACATTCCATTCCATTTCTCTCATTTCCATTCCATTGCATTCCAATCCACTCCATTCCTTTCCATTCCATTCCATTCCACACCATTTCATTGCTCTGCATTCCATTTCTTTGCTTTCCATTCCATTCATTCCATTTCTCTCCATTCCGTTCCATTCCCTTCCATTCCGTTCCTCTCCATTCCATTACTCTCCATTTCATTCCTCTTTATTCCATTCCTCTCCATTCCATTTCTGTACTCTCCATTACATTCTTTTCCATTCCATTCCATTCCACTCCATTCCATTCCATTCCTCTCCATTCCATTTCATTCCTCTCCATTCCATTCCATTCCATTCCTCTCCATTCCTTTCCATTTGATTCCATTCTATTCCATTCCTCTCCGTTCAATTCCATTCCATTCCACTCCTTTCCATTCCATTTGATTCCATTCCATCCCATTCCTCACTATTCCATTCCCCTCCATTCCATTCTTCTCTATTCCATTCCATTCCTTTACATTCCATTCTATTCCTCTATGTTCCATTCCATTTCATTCCTGACTATTCCGTAACATTCCATTCCATTCCACTCCATTCCATTCCTCTCTCTTCCAGTCCATTCCTCTCAATTGCATTCCACTCCGTGCCATTCCCATCCATTCCTCTCCATTGCATTCCTTTCCATTTCATTCCATTCCATTCCTCTCCATTCCATTCTATTCCATTCCAATTCCCCTCCACTCCATTCCATTCCAATTCCCCTCCATTCCATTCCTCACCATTCCTTTCCATTCCAATCCATTCCATTTCTCTCCATTCCATTCCATTCCATTCCTCTCCATTCTGTTCCTCTCCATTCTATTCCATTCCTTTCCATTTCATTCCATTCCTCTCCATTCCATTCCATTCAATTCCATTCCATTCCAGTCCTCTGCATTCCATTCCTCTCCATTCCATTCCTTTCCATTCCAATCCATTCCATTCCTCTCCATTCCATTCCATTCCATTCCATTCCTCTCCATTCCATTCCATTCCTCTCCATTCCATTCCATTCCTATTGGGAGCCAACATCTATAGCTACATGGCTGAGGCCTGTAAAGGCCCATCTGGAAGATCGCCTCTGACATAGGATATCAGTTATACCTATAATATTGGCGTGTGATTAGTGACCAGTGTGCATACATGGCAGTAAAACTTATAAGTAAATATCAATATGCCTGATGGAAAGTGCACAGCAGAATTATTTTTCTCTGTCTTTCTAAGTTTTACTTCTTTCTAGATATTTTTTAACTTCTATTTCCTGGTAGACTGGTTAGTCAGCTTTCGAAAGCTGTTTCCCCTAAGGCTAAGATTAGAAACTAAATTACCATGATAATTTTGTCATCCTGCCCCTAGCCAGGCAGAACGTTTTCTTTTGTTTCATTAATTACCAAAACTCTGTCTGCTTCAGCCCACACACAGCCACCATCATGGCGGCCATGCATTTCCTTGTGCAAGAATGTGACAGCTACTATTTGAATTTTAGAATAGACTTGTTAGGATAAAATATATACACATACACTCATAGTTGCGTAAATTTATGCTTGCTGTTTTGTTTTCTTTTGCTACATTACTCAAATATAATAGTTACTATACGATTTATAAAAGAATTAATGATGAGGTATTAGCTTAATAGGATATAGCATAGTATTAAAGGTCAATCATTAGATTATATAAAAATTAGAGTTTAGACATATGAAACTTATATGAATTATAGTAAAGTTTGGTAGTTTAAGAATAAGTTTCAACTGAGTTATAAGGCATTACGTTAAATCGTAATAGGATAATAGTATAACTAACAGCTAAGTCATTTAAGTAAACTTATAGATTATAGTATAGTGTTAAGTTGATAATATTAATCGTTAAAAATATTAGGAGTCAGTGAACTTGGATTGAACCTAGAGTTAACTTAGAAAAGTTTTTTGTATTAATCAGGGTTTAGAACAAAGAGTATAATATGAATGATTCATTGAACATTATGGAAAACACTTTGAACAATTTGTATTGAAATTGTGCACCTGTGACCGTAATGTAAGCACGACAGGCATCATGGAATTCGAATTGTTTGCTTGGAAATTGCAGATCTCATGGTGGTCTTGTGATGCATAATTTGTAAAGCACGGAACTTGTACGCCCCCAGTAAGTGATTATCACACTGCTGGAGGGTGTAGAAAATGGTATATAAGTTGGAAGGAGTCCGAATAAAATTTGGCTTCAGTCCTGATCAGACTGTTCCCAGAAGAACTGCCTCCGAGTGGTCTCTTCTCGCCATCCAGATTCTCCGGTGCGGGTCTTAACCCACCCTTGGTCAATGCTGGTCACCGACACATTCCCTTCCATTTCATTCCATTCCTCTCCATTCCATTCCATCCCATTCTTTTTCCATTCCATTCCTCTCTGTTCCATTCATCTCCATTCCATTCCTCTCCATTCCATTCCATAACATTCCACTACATTCGTTTCCTCTCCATTCTATTCCATTCCACCTCATTCCATTCGTCTCCATTCCATTCCTCTCCATTCCATTCCTCTCCATTCCGTTCCATTCCCTTCTATTCCATTCCTCTCCATTCCATTCCCATACTCTCCATTGCATTCCTTTCCATTTCATTTCATTCCACTCCATTACATTCCTCTCCATTCCTTTCCATTTGATTCCATTCCATTCCTCTCTGTTCAATTCCATTCCATTCCATTCCACTCCTTTCCATTCCATTTGATTCCATTCCATTCCATTACTCACCATTCCATTACCTTCCATTCCATTCCATTCCATTCCTCTCCATTCCATTACATTCCATTCAGTTCCTCACCATTCCATTCCATTTCATTCCTTTCCATTTGATTCTTCTCTATTCCATTCCATTCCTCTACATTCCATTCCATCCTCTACATTCCATTCCATTCCGTTCCTGTCCATTCCATTCCAATCCATTTCATTCCATTCCTCTCCAATCCGTTCCTCTCTATTCCATTCCCTTCCATTCCTGTCCATTCCATTCCATTCCCTTCCATTTCATTCCATTCCTCTCCATTCCATTCCATTTGATTCCATTCCATTGTGTCCTGAAATTATTTATTCCATTGAACAGATGAGGCTGTGTCCTGGAAAGGTGAGCAGTATACCCATAGTCCCATAAACAGTAAGGAGCATGACCATGAAACCTATTGATTTCCAGAATCAGCAGAGGGAGATTCTCAAATGGGACTGTCACGAAGAGATCCAGAAGTTACAATCCGTAGTTCAATGTGAAATGGGCAGATTATTTCAGTCACACCTGTGGCCTAGGGTCCATAGGTCCCTCTGAATTTGAACCAAGGACAGGTACCTACAAGGCAGCCAGGAGCACCTGACTTCTGGACTTTGTGCCCTGACCTTTCTGAACGTGTCTGGTGCCACCGTCCTCACCTCTGCTCCCATGAATGTGAGTGGGAATGAATCCATCTTGAGCAGAACCGCTGCAATCTTTTAGGAATCGGTGACCTTGGAGGACGTGGCTGTGGACTTCTCCCAGGAGGAGTGGGCATTACTGGACCCTGCTCAGAGGGGCCTGCACCAAGAGGTGATGCTGGAGACCTACAGGAACCTGCTTTTCCTGGGTGAGGCGAGCGTCATTCATTCAAGGGTGTCTACATCTGCTGGACATTGGGCACCATGCTGGGACCTGGGAGTTGATCAGTAGAAAAGACAGATTTGGTTCCTGGTCTTGTGGTTCTCAGCCTCTGGTTTCTCTGGCAGAATAACCTTATTTCTTCAGGGTGGGACAACTGAAACTGCCGTTGAATTGCTTCTCTGATTCTACTTGGGTCAGAGTATGTATGCTTTTTTTGCCAAGGTGAAGAGCCATCATTTTTTTCTGAAAAAAAAAAAATATATATTTTTGAGTCAGGGTCTCACTCTGTTGTCCAGCCTGGAGTGCATGCAGTGACACAATCTCATCTTTGCATCTTCAAATACCTGGGCTCAGCCAATTCTTCTGCCTCAGCCTCCCAGGTAGCATGGACTACAGGCACATGCTACCATGGCCAGCTAATTTTCTAATGTTTTATAGAGATGAGTTCTTGCCATGTTGTCCAGGCTGGTCTTGAGCTCCTGGCTCAAGCAATCCTCCCCCGGGTGGCCTCCCAAAGTGCTGGGATTACAGGATGAGCTACCATGCCTGACTTTTTTTTTTTTTTTGAGTTGGAATCTCACTCTGTCGCCCAGACTGGAGTGCAATGGCCACTCCTGGCCACCGCAGCCTCGACCTGCTGGGCTCCGGCAATCTGCTGGGCTCCGGCAATCCTTCCGCCTCAGCCTTCTGAGTAGCCGGAATTACAGGCATACACTACCACGCCCGGCTGACTTTTTGATTTATTGTAGAGATGAGGTCTCGCCAAGTTGCCCA